TTGACATAGTCAAACTTAATGAGCAAGGCTAAATAACGGCTCTGCTTTGACATTCGTCCATTTTTGACAATCGTCCATGCTCTGGTCCCTAACCAGACGAAAGTGCGAGGTGTTCCTGTCCGTCGCTCAGCTGGCCTGGGAACGCCTGGGCATTCCCCCAGGAAGAGCTATGAGTCTGTGTATAGTAGTGTATAGTGTATAGACCACTGGACGGGTTCCGCACAGACTGTAACAACCACAGGGGCATCTCACTCCTCAGTGTGCCGGGAAAGGTCCTGCCAAGGATTATTCAACATCGCCCTTGATAGGCACGCTGAAGGAGAGGCTTGCGGAGCCCCAATGCGGTTTCAGGAAAGGGCGGTCCTGCACAGATGCCATATTTTCTGTCCGCCTGCTACAGCAGAGTTGTAGGGAATTCCAACAAGACCTACAATTATGCTTTATTGACCTGGTCAAGGTCTATAATACCATCAGTAGGCCTGGGCTCTGGGTTGTTCTTCGTGCTTTCGGAGTCCCTGACCCTCTGCTCACGATCATTAAGGACCTTCATGATGGTCAGCGGGCCCGGGTAAAACTATGTGGCCGGGAGTCGGAGCCATTCTCTGTACACCTTGGGGTGCGACAGAGATGTCGTCTTGCTCCCACATTATTTAACATCTATTTTGCCCACGTAGTTCGTAAAGCCTTCAATAGCTTTACCGAAGGAATTTCCATCTGGTACAGATACAGCGGGAGGCTGATCGATGCCCGGGTACGGTCAAGGGATGGCTCCCTATTGCTCAACAATGTTACATATGCCGATCTGGTAATTGCTGCTCACATAGAGCAAAAGTTGGAGGCGCTACTGCTGAAGCTGGACTTTGCCAATAAGAGGTGGGGCCTTACCATCAGCCCCACCAAAACTAAGCACATGCTTGGGTATTTTGTACCATCGGACACTCCAACCCTACAACTCCCAATTAGGTGATGGGGTAGTTGTGGAGAGAGTGGAGAGTTCCCATACCTGGGCAGTGTGCTCATGACCGGCTCCAGTTTAACAGCAGAGGTCTCATTCCGAATCAGTCAAGCGGCGTTATCTTTTCATCGGTTGCGTAACACTGTGTGGAAGCTACCTGGTCTGTCGCTCCGCACGAAGCTTCAGGTCTTCTCGGCCACAGTCATTCCCTCCCTTCTCTAAGCTTGCGAAACGTGGACTCCCCTAATGGAACATCTTTGCCGGTTATAAACATTTAGGCTGGCCTGCCTACCATCCATCCTGGGTTTAACCAGGCTGGATTGTGTGAGGAGCTCACAAATCGTTGAAAGATCTGGACAAAGTCCCGTCGGTGAGCTCCTCTGGCAGGCAAGGCTGCGTTGGCTGGGCCATGTAGCCTGCATGCCCAGCCACCACATGCATAAACAGCTTTTGTTCGGCCGGATCGAGGGGGCTAAACGGGCGCGGCACGGGCTAGAGAAGAGATGGAGTGATGTGGTACAGGAGGATGTGGAGCTGAGTGGACTTGCCGATGACTGGTACCAGCGGTGTCAAGATCGGCCTCTGTGGAGGAGGCTCGTGGAGGACGCTACTGGGAAGTTGGAGGCAGTCGCCTTCCAACAACAATGAAGGGCGGAGGAGCGACGCTCACAACAATGAGTGGAGTGCCGGGTGGCTAAAGCACAGCAAGTTGGCACAGGAGAGGGCACAGGTGGTGCATCAACCAGTCGTCTCAGTCAGTCGACTCGTGGCACCTGGGTCTGCCCCGTGACCTCCTGCCAGCGTGCGTTCGACACTTCACGTGGCCTTAAGGTGCACATAGCCTGGCACAAGCGCCGTGGTGACGTCACTGCCACTTAGTGGCGAATGGCGGTTATTGTTGTTATAGTGTATCGTGCAGTAGTGTATAGTAGTGTAGTGTATATTGTAGTAGTGTATAGTAATGCACAGTAGTGTATAGTTGTGTATAGTGTATAGCAGTGTCTAGTGTAGTAGTGCTAGAATCCTTCCCCAGGGAAAGGGACGTCTGGACCGCCCTGCTCAACATGCTGCCGTCACAACCCTCACCAAGACAAGCGGACTGAGAAACGAACGAACTTATGACAAAGGGACGTACGTCTTCTTGTGTTCATTTCCAATCTTGGGGTTTCGGTGAAAGGCTACAAGACTCGTGGAGCCAAACATTCCAGAGAAACTCCACTGGCCGGCATAATGGGCTGCCCTGTTGTGTGGTATTTTAATGTTCTTTGGCGGCTATTAAATGTCCCGACGATATGCCACTCCGTTAAGCTATCTTTCGTGGCCAGGTCGCTATAGCTCAGTGGGCCTTACCTGGTAAAATCAACATAGTTTAGTTTTAGTAAAAAAACGGGATGCCTTGTTTTTCTTTTTACTGCATTTTCTTTTGCATGACATTCATTGTTTTGCTGCGCCTAATATATCACCATCTGACAATGCTTCCGTGATAATGCACTTTTTTCTTCTTCAACTAAAGCCTCCATTGAGCCTCCATAATCGTTTCCAGCACGATTTGCAATACTTCACGGCAATCATCTGTTTGATCTTCCTTGCAAAAGCGTTCACTAATTTCAAAATCAATTTTAAAAGTGCTCCCATCCCGTTGATTATGGGCCTTCCAATCTTCTTGTCAAATAAATTTCCTACATTTTTTTGCATGTCCCATGTATCATTAGAGCAACACAAACCATACCACCCACTACCGCTTCCTCCATACATCCACATGTCCTATATAATTTAAACCAATTTAAATTTCAGGGGCTGGTGATGATGATCGTTACCGGCATTGGTCCTCCTGGTGATTGAAACTGCTGCCGGCTGCTGCTGTTCTGAAAAATTATGTTAGGAAGCTGCTGAAGGATAAAAAAAACGTACCAAGAAGCATCTGGCCTCTGAAAAATTGATGCATGCGGACGGTGCTAAGAATTTCATGGCAGAATAGGGTGATTATGATGTTATGTTACCAATAAAAGCCTCACCGAGTCCAAACGACTCATTTCCGTTTTAGAACACGTTTAGTGTTTGTGTGACATTGACTGTTTCACGCATCTCCTCCCTGCCCCCCACGCCTCCCCTGAGATGTTATATCCCCCCCCCCCCTTTAAGGGGCGCAGCAGTGGGGGGATATTAACTGCCTCGTCTGGTATATAGGTCGTGGGTTCAACCCCAATCCGCATGCCTCTATATTTGTAGTTTGGATGTTCTCCGTGTGGTCGCGTGGAATTTTTCCAGCTCCTCCGGTTTTTCCCTCCAGAATGAGAAACATGCGTTCAGAGCATTGGCTGCTATAAATTTCCACGTGACAAGCCACTTCGTTGAGCTATCATTTGTGGCCAGGTCGCTTCTGTAAAATCGCTATACAGCTCAGTGTGCCGTACCTGGCTAATAAAAAATTGTAAATAGTCAAATAGTTAGTTAAACAAGGATGACTGTGCCACCATCTCCTGACCACCTCGAAGCCCCCGCGGGTTTGGGAGAATCACAGATCTCGACGTGGTCCCTTAACCTTTGCCCCCAAAGCGTTGGATCACAGGCATCTCCACCGCCACCACGCCTGGGAAAGCAACTCATAAGTTACTCCATTTCGCCTGTCGACACGCAGTTTAAACGTTTCAATTGAACCCACCTTCTGTCAATGGCCCAGCCATGATGGCTAGCAATTAGCTACGAAGTGGATGTTAAAGACGCCGTAACATCGTTTGTGGATGTAGGATGTCACGTGCTTGAGTTGAAGGCTGAAAAAAAAATTGCCCATAACCCAAGCCGGCTGAGAATTGCTGTGGTCAAATAAGGGCTCGACTCGCAATTCAGAGTTAAATGTAAATGCCTGCCAGGTGAAAATCGACTCAGCCCACCGTCAGTCGCGGTTGATGAATACACAGTGACATCGCGGATGTCACTGTAATGCCGGCCCGAGAGAGGCACGGCGTGCGATGTGTTAACATCGCGGGCACCACGTATATGTGGTGCAGTACCGGCCCTAGAGGGGCTCGGTGATCACTGACTGGCAGTGCTGGATGGCACCACGCTCTGCGTGCAGTGCCGACCCCTACAGGATAGGGTGTGAGAGAGCCGGCCATGGGAATGGGGTTACTAAGGGCCATGGCACTCTGGTTGACCCCGAAGGACACATGACCGGTAAAGTCTACACAGGGCCCCAAGGTGGGGGCTAGGGGTGGTCACGTGTCAGAGTCGAGATCCTGCTCGAGGATTCTCGAAGGTGGGCGTGGCTAAGGGCGGAGCTAGCCACACCACGGAGTATATAAGCCGGGTCCCCCAGGAGGGACCGGCTGTTGTGGTTATCCTGAAGAATCTACATTCTACGTCCTAGAAGAGTCACCAACACGTGGACCTGGACCCAAGCTGGGGTCCTGTCCGTTGTAGCTACTCCCAGAGTAATTAGTTCAGTTAGCCTGGGGGTCCACCACCATAGGTTGTTATCTGGTAAAGGGGAAGTTACCCCTTTGTGTTGGTATCAATACATGTGTTGCCTCCAAAGAGTACGTCTGCGACTCAGTTGAACTCACTACAAATACATACCGCGCTGTGGGGAAGGCAGCGGTGGCTGTCCTAACGGATTGCCTGGGCCCTGCCAAAGCAGTGCGCAGTGTCTCACCCTCGGGTCAGCACTGCCAGTGGAGGTGAGTGCTGTTCGACGCTCGTGTGAGACGCACATCAACGTTTGATAAGGTCTCTTTACAAAAACAAGTAATCTCAAGGAGCTCTTGTTTAAACGAAGGACACTGATACGTATCATTTAACGACATGTAAGTGTGGATGGAATAAACAACGGTTGCATTTTGTGTTTTGTAAAATTTGCACAAATTACTACCTGTTACATTCAAAGTCTCATGAGAGTAACTGTCGCAGGTGTTTCAGGTGATAAAGTGTACAAGGAATCTTTTCATGCAAGCGTGACACACCCTCACCCCCTCCGTATGCAGTGGTTCATTCCACAATGCCCTCCACGATGCACAGCAATAATTGTGGAGTATACCATGTAAAGCAATCGTATAGGGGTGAATTTTATTTATTCTTAAAAACTGCCTAGAACTTTCTTGAGTCACATACGCTTACAAAGCTTAGCGTACAAAATCTTGACACTGCATACCAATAGTTTTTCTTTTTGTATCTTTAAACGTGGCACACACGGATGAACATAAACCCATAAATGTGATTACAAAAATAAACTCCACAGTAAACCAACGATCGATTACCAGGAATAACAAAGACTACGGTTATATTTTTTCTTTCGTTAAGTGTTGCGATAACAGTGGCATAAACACGCACAACGCCGGGTCATTTATTGCACTTTGCTGGCACTGAGAACATCACGGGTGCAGCAACACTGACACTAGCGGGCAAAGTGAGGTGCACTTGATGCAGCCCCATCGGTGAATTCCTTGTCGAACCATGCTGAGACTGAACCAACGAGATGTGAACGCGACAACGAACGCGGGCCGGCTTCACAAAACGAGATTTCTCCTCGCGAGTCCGTGCAAGGTTGCAACACCGCACAGCACTCTCAGTACAACCACATGAGCCGGATCCGCCGTGCTCATTTGTCGAATATGGGAATGGGTCAGGGGGGGGATGCTTTATAAAAGATAAAGGTACAGCCCTTGAAATTGCTTGCTCACGCTGCTGCTGGCGGACGGGGGGGCTCCACTGGAGGCAGCTGTAGAGAGCGCCTCCAGAGGGCATTTCGACAGAAGCCTCAAGAGTAGGTGGGAGTGTGCGCGTCCCACCCCCCCTCCCCCCAACTACACGTGACATGTCAATCGACTGTGGTGTGCCGAAACACACTGTTGAGTGGACAGAGGAGAGGGGTTTTAAAGCAAAAAAAAATAAAATTGCACCATTGTTTCAACGCCCCAACAGGAGATCAAATCGAATCGATGATATCTTGCCTTGCAAGTACCCGTGTGCTGACCATAACACCACAGCAGAATTTCAATTTAAAACATATTGTGGTGGTGGTGGGGGTGGGAATATTATTAGTGGGCTGACGTGACGTGGCTGGCTCACTGACACGTGAATGGCTGTGCCAGTGTACAATGAGCCAGCATCACTGAAGTCATGGGTTGGATTCCTGGACACAATTTGTGTGGCACCGCGGGCATCCCGGCTTCTGCTGGAGTCTGGGTCCCAGCAGCCCGTGATTAAAGCAAGTCCTCGAGGGTAGCCGGGTCGATGGTCCTTAGATGAGTCACCAACGACAACGATAAAGCAAGCAAATAAAAACGTAGGTTTTTTCTCCTCCACCCCATTTAATGTGGCGTTTGATGATGATGATGTTGGTTTGGAACAAATAAAAAAAAACCCTACGTGGTGGAGTATCATTTGACAGTTGGTTAAAGAAAGACACAACCAAAAAAACCCACAAGAACTGCCCAGGAATCACGAACGTAAGAACAGCATTGGGCCAAGGTTGCACCATTTTTTCAACGCCCCAACAGGAGATCCGCCAGCAGCAACGTTGGTCCAACGTTGTCCCAACGTTGGCATGCTTACTGGGTGCGGGAAACGTATCTACGCGTGTGTCCGAAGCCTCCCAACACCAACTTAAGAATTTTCGTTCGTGAGCAAGTCAGAATTGAAAATCACTGCCGCGGCGTCTTCTCGCGCGGACGGAACGATGCCGCTCTAGCGCCCTCCAGTGGCATGGCGGCGTTCACTGGAGTCCTCCCCTCCCGCTCGAGTGACCCCGGGACCACCAGAGCCGTTCCTTGGGTACGCGTGAATTGGAGCGACCGCCCGGGGCCCCGCCATTTGGGGGGCGCGCCCGTTTCGACGTCGCGGTTATCGGATGTAATGGGATCCACACGGTGTGGGATTTGCCCCTGGCCCTGCACCCTCCCCACCCCGTATGGACGACCCTGCCAACCACATTGTGAGGGCATCTCCACGTGAGCCGACGGGGGAGCCCAGCGCCCAGAGGGGAGATTTGAAAACCAAAAATATGTCGTGGCACTTTGTTCTGCAACTGGAACGTTGGGATTTTTCCCAGGGGTAATTGGCAGCTTTATTTATTTACAGAAACAACATAATTCAACCGCTTCTGTAAACTGATACAAGAACAATGGAAATTAACAATTTATAAAAAAAAATGCACCTGGTTGTTGTTGTTGTTGTTGATTCGTATTGTCCCGTAACAGGGGGCTTCTAAACACAACCACACCACCTCAGGATGTCGAAGAAAGAAGCCCAGTGACCCCATGGACATTGAGTAGACCGGGGGAGAGGAGAAATCCATCTTTTTACGAGGGCTTTTTAGAGTAGTAAGCAACAACAACAAGGCGGAGAGGGGACAGTAACATGAGAACATAAACATGAAGGCACGTCATGCAAAGAGACAACCATAGACAGAGGTGTAAAGGCGGTGTGGGGGGGCGGTGTGAACATTGTGGATGCCCATGTGTAACGAAGTTCCAGACTGTGGGGGCAGTGGAAGAGTTGCCTGGAGGTGTGCTCGCTGAGCAGAGGCCTTGGGGAGAGCAGCAGAGTGAAGCGAGACGAAATAGGAGTGAGAGATTTTAAGACGAGGGGGCGAGGGGGTGGTGTGGTAGTAAAGACGACTTGGAGACTGATTCCGGATTGGACTCAGACCAAGTGGAAATGACTGATAGTGGTGTCACTCTACAGGCAGGAATGAGGCGATATTCTCTACATTCTCTCTATCGCCTTGTACCACCTCGTCTCGCCTCACTTATCTCCTATGTCTCCGCTCGTCCTCTTCGTTCAGTCTTCTCTCTCTCGGTCCCTCCGTCTCCCTGTGCCCAATCCGGTCTTCTACCCTTTTCCCTCCTTGCACCCCTCTAACGAAACAATCTTCCCCTGTAGATTAATAAGTCCCCCGCCCCCTCCTTAACCTCCTTAATAATAATAGTTCAATTTGTAACGCGCGCAAATTTGCAGACGTAGTGGCCACAACTCAGAGGCGCGGAGCCAAGCTCAGAGTCGCTCGAAAGCACGTGGTTATAGAGGTGAGTTTTTAAGTCTCTCTTGAAGGAGGCGATTGAGGTGATGCTGCGAATGTGCAGAGGGATATCGTTCCAGGATATTGGGGCTGCCACCGAGAAGCGGCGCATAGACACGATGACCATCCTGGATCTTGGTATCAAGAGGAGGTCGTGAGTCGCGCTACGCAGGCATCTGCCGTGTGCTGAGCTGCAAGTTGTCAATAATGAAGAAAGGTACGGCGCCCCTCTCTTCAAGCCTCACCTCTTCTCTATTGGCCATTCTCTTCCTCTTCCCTCCCCTCGTCCCTCCACTCCTTCCCATCCCTCCCATACCCTTTTGTGATCCCCATGTACCCTAAATCGCGATCCTTCATCCCTCAACCCTGGTAGTATCTAAATCTATATAGTCACGGTTTTTATCTTAACTCTGTTAAACGCCTTGAATGAAGGCGCTTTGGAGGTGATATATTCTGGGGAGGGATGGAGGGGACAGGCACAAGCAATAGCCACGACAAGAAGTGACAGCGATGCGATCGGGATCTTGACAAAAAAATGGTGCAGGGCAAAAAAATTGGCTCAACCATTTCTGAGCAAAATAAAACAGGGTCAGGTGCCAAGCCAGCAGACTTAAAAAGTGGCCCCGCGTTCAAACAATAATACGGTGTGGACATCTGCATTAGTACGGAGCCGTGAAACGCAATACCGTCAAATGTAACCTTCATTTCGGATGACCAAAACAAAGCACGCATATGACGCACACACACACACACGCACGCGCGCGCGCGCAGATCATAAACAGGGACACGAAATAATCTATAAAAGTTTGGTTTGATAAGTTAATTCAGTTTGCATTAAAATATCATAAATAAATCGCACATACTTTTTTCTGTATAAGCCCATATACCGCGTGCTAGATTTTATTTTGCCATATAATCGCCAAACCTTTTAACATTCTTCTCGTTCAACGTTTACGTTTCAGGCGATGCACCTGTATAACGTGTCGGCATTGTTAAAACTCTCGCGTCCTTATGTACAGGAGCCTCAAAGTGCCGGATCGTGTTCATGGAAGACAACTTTTCTCTCTCTCTCTTTCTCTTTATGCATTCAGTTGTAATCAAGGTTGAACGATGGTTAAATATAGTTGCGTTAATATCGTTTAAACATGCCAGAATTATATGCAGTGGTGCGGAGATAAAACCCTGGACGAGTGGGCGAAACCGTGGAGTGAAAGGGGAGGCGGGGAGGCACGGCGAGTCAACTGATCGGATGGGGCCCCGAATGGAGATGAGAGCGTTTGGAGGCCACGAACCCCACGGACTTGCCAATTGTCTTGAGCGCGACCACGGCAATAATCACAAACGTCATCGCCGCTCGAAGGAGCATGGGCGGTGCTGTTTTCCCCCTTGGCAGTTCCCGAGCCGGTTGTAGAAATTCCAGTTGCATGGCTTGACCACGTCTGTCTCTAATGACGAAGGCGGTCGCTCGTAGAGGTATGCACCGCTCAATGCTCATTTGAGCAAATGGAAATTGAAGTTGGGTATCAGCTGCATTGCCGAAAGGTGTAAATGCATCCTTGCATACTGCTTGGTGGCTAAAATAAAGCATTACCATTGTTGATGTTGTTGTTAGAGTTGCATTGCGAATGTCCAATGTTATACCAGAATGTTAACAATTCACATTTGGATTGGCAAGTCGGGCGACGCGTCAACGAATGCATCCAGATGCACTCCGTAGGGTTGATTTACAGAGTGCCTCCCCTCTCATCCCCGGCACAACAGCAGCACTGTTATCCCCAAAGTAATGCCTCCTCTCCGTTGTTTATGGAACGAGAAATGCTCGTGGCCTCGCAAGGGCTTCGAACGGGCTCCTCGTTTGCGCCGCCTTCATCGGCATTCGTGGCCCCACCGATCTCTGATACGGGGACTCCTTCACTTACGAGCACTCGACTTGTGAACTTGCAGAGATACGAACAAACCTGGTCCGTGTGTCCAGTTGCCCTGTTCGGACCGAGATACGTAAGTCCAACCGCCGCGCAATAGATGGTGGTGGCACCTACATCTGTAGAACATGAAGAACCAGTGGCATCTACATCTACAGGGAATTTTACAACTTTAAAATCCATTGCCCCTATTTAGTGTACATGCCATACAACATGTTTGGAATTGACAGGAGTAAAGTTGGACTTAGGAACAAATCGACTTACGTACAGACCTCTGGAACCTAACTCGTTCGTAAGTAGAGGAGTCCCTGTATATCCCCCTACAGCCCCTCCCCTCGCTCCTTACAGCCCCACATTTTCGGGTGGAACAGACACCAACACTTCAATAGTCGCAGCATTCTGTGTGTACGGATTCTGGGCGGCATTCGGTACACGCGAAGGTGTACGACTATGGGAGTTGTGCATCTCGCCGCCACCCTCTCGCTTCTTTCGCTAAATTCAGGCAGATGGCGGAAAACAAGATGGTCGCTGATTCTACATTGCGACGAGTACATTGGCAATATGCGTATGAAGCAGAGAGTGGCAAGAATCCAATTCTTCACAGCTCGATTCCACCGTTGATCAAATTCCGTCCACTCTTTGTTCGGTTTACCCATTGCCCCACTGCGCTAACAACAAGAAAACAACGCTCGGCTCTTCGAGGACGTTCTCAATCGGTGGCATGCTTCCATTCGTCCATGCATTACTTCTGGGCTAAGGCCTACTGCGTCGACCGCTCCCTCAACCACCCCCCCCCCCCACCGTCTCGCGGCGCAACCCACGATCAGCACCCACGGTCACGACCGATGGACGGGCAGAGGGTGTCAGTGTTGGGGGTAGTAACGGATTTCGTGTAATCACATCGGCTGCCGTTACTTCGGTCGATTACTTTTTTTTGTTATGATTTGCGTCTAATCATATTCGTGCGACGTGGAGAACGTCCACGGTCGGCAGCTTAGGTTATTGCAGAGACAGCGGCAGCCAATAATGCACACGTGATCACGATACGCAAACCCCAGTCGTGGCATAGATGTCGTTAATTCTGTGATGCAAACGGCGCCTTAAAATCAAATCCCAGCGAGAGCTCAAATGATCACGTCCCCTCTCTGGGAGGAGGTGATGGCGCGGGGGGGGGGGTCTATCAAATCGGTACAACTTTGTGCGAAGTCAACAGTGGTTGTCATACGGATAGACTGGTCCTCTGCCATAGGAAACGTGGAATTTCCACCGCTGCATCAGAACTCCCGACACAGGCGAGCACAACCCCGACGCTCATTCGAGCGGGGAGAGGCCACCCCACGACTTTCTGTTCCGAATCGTGTCGTGAAAGTCATCAAGCACCGCAAAGAGCCCATGGTAGACGGGATTACGTCACATCACTTCCACAAGCTCGAGCAAATCAGCTGTCGAGAAGTCGGATTACTTCGCCCCCCCCTAACAAAAAAACAATCACAACCCCAACACTGTGCGGGAGGGGTGGGTGTGACGGTGGGCGATGGATGATTCTGCGACGCACTTCGCATGCAAGGATGGGAAGGGGGTGGCTGGGAGGGTGGACGCGGATTCCGGTGCAGAGGAGTGGTTTCTTTTTGGTTCAGCATGCAGACAAAAGTCTTCCACAGCGCCCGCTCAGTTCTCGAGCTCCGCGCTGGCACGCAAAGTGCAGTCCCCCGGTTTATTACACAAAGCAGCATTTGCAAATCTTCTGCCAAGAGGGTGCCGCGGGGGTGGATTTTTTTGCACGTTTACAAACGACGACGCATCAAGAACAAGGAGGGGGGGGGGGGAGAATAAATAAAAGTTATCCTTCGCTGTTGAAATTCCGTGAAAGAGTTCATTTGTTTGCGACTTGGACAGGTCTTTTTTTAATTGACTTGCTTGGCGTCCTTAGGAAAATGCCCACTGTAGTTTGTATGTATAACTTCTGCGCTCCTCCGTCTGCATACAAATTGCTTTATTTACAGTTTTTTTTTTTACCCAGTGATTACAACTTGAGTTATTCTCTCATTGGTGCTGTGGTCCGAGTTGACACATTGCAGACTTAAAGTGCACAATACTCTTCGAAGCGTTATTTACTTTTCTTAATGGGAATCGTAATCCTGTCCTGCGACCACTGGGACGTCACAGGCTCTGCTGTCGTTGGCGTCTAGACCAATGAGACGGGTTTGTGTTGTTTCGTAATCGCGGCATTTTTTTTTCACATCTTAAACAAAGTCTCTCTTATTTTGTTGATAGGGGTGACTTTGGAAGCACTTACAAGTGCTAGGTATTGCTTAAAAAAGCCACACATTAGCTATCTGTGTGCCGCCCGATAGGCAATGTGTGTGCGTGCACCGTATATACACGTGTGTATGTGTGAAATTGTGTGTGTGCACGTGTAAAGACAATGTACGAGTGTGTTTTGCACACCGCCTTACAATCTCAATGATCTGGGTCTGATGGCATTCCATGATGCACAACAGCTGCGTCAACACTGATATCTAAAGCTAGCCGAAGTTGAGGACCCGGTGCAGTGGCATCATCGAAGAGAGCAACGAGGAGACAAGAGGTGGCCCGGCATGCGTGTCGCTGGCCACCGCCATTTCCTCGCTTGTGCCTTGCCGGCATTAATAGGCGCTCGCAAACAATGCTTGCCCCCAACAGCCTATAAGGCTAAACGAGACGGACATCCGCGCGTGTGCATCGTTACATTTAGGCTACGTGTCACATGCAGACAAAAGTCCATCGTTTAAAAATCTCCCGTAAAACATCAACACCTATTCCTTCCTCCGATTTCGTTTGCTCGGTTCACCCCGGCGAACAGCTGGGGAGGAGATCACGCGAGTGTAGAACCTCGCCGAGACGCAAATAAGTTACGCATATTAACCCTCGCTGAGTAAAATCCAAACACAATGTTCACGGCTGCACCTCGATTTAAAACAACTCCGCCCTCAAGCACCGTCGGCCGGTCCTCTGCCTTCGCTTGAGGGAGACCTAGACTGCGTCGCAGCCGCTGCCATTCTCCCCATCGTCCGCCACCAAGCTTCTCCTGGCCCCCGAGGCTGCCCCACCGGACGCGCCGCTCTTGACACCCAGCGAAGCCGTCCTCGGTCTCACCAGCGGATCCTCCTCCTCCGCCGCCGCCGCTTTCAGCAGCAGCAACTCGGAGAGGCTCCCGACGGAGCCGCGTCCCGCGCAGCGCGGCCCTCGCGCCAGCGGCGTCGCCCCGCCATCGCCGGGCACAGCCAGCAGCGACGGCGGCAGTGCGCGTCCGCGCTCGCGCCCATGGCCGTCGGGACAACGCTCATTCTGCTGCTGATGATGATGATGATGGAGCAGATGACTAACAGGCGGCGTCCCCGTCCTCCTCGCCAGCGACTCGTACGAAATGCAGCGTCGCCGGGCCTCCCGGGCTCCTCGCGCCGCGGTCTCCACGGCATCCCCCGGCGCCACCACAGTTATGAGTGGTGGCGTCGGTGGCGTCGGTGGCGACGGTGGCGACGGTGGCGACGGCGTTTTCCACCACCCGATTCCGACGCAGACCTTCGAGCCACTGCCGCCACCGCCGTTGGACGACCGCGAGGGCCGCGATGGCGGCGGAGGGCGGGACGAGCAGCCCGTCGGCCCGTCGCGTGGGTAAACGTCCACCGAGTGGCGCCGTTGCATGCGGATGACCCGGGCACGCTCGTGGAAGCCCCCGCCGCCACCCCCGGCGGGAAGTCGACCGGCCGCCGCCGTTGTCGTCTTCCCGTCCGCGTGAGTGTCAAGAATCAGCTCGGGTGTCGGATGCCGGTGGAGGGCGGAGGCGGGCGAGGGGGAGGCGCGGGCGCCGTCGGGCGACGCTCGCGGCGAGCTCGAGGCGAGCGGTGAGCCATCTGCGGGAGAGACGCCGCGGCTGCGTCGACGCTCCGGAAGCTCCACGTGCCTCGGAGACCGATCGGCAGCCGTCGCCTCCTGCGCAAGGAGGCGTTGCATCCGAGTTGACACTGCCAGGCACTCTGACCCTCGGCGCCGCTGCACTAGACACTGGAGCCACTCGCACGCAGTGGGCGGCTGAGGGCACCGCAGTGAAGTTTACACAGGGTGGTCCAGGTATCTTGTGACCCAAACCCAAATGAATTGAACCCATTGCATTTTTTTACCCTTTGCACATTCATTTCTATTTTAAATAAACCTTTCTTTAGCCATCTGGACCACCCTGTACATCTGTGCTCTACGCATTCACCAAGCCACGCACAGACCGGCGTGATGAAGTACGGTCGATTTACACCCCACGAGCCGTCCGGCGTGCGGGGGGGACTGGGGGGCTCTCATCCAGCAGTGGATTAATAGAGGGATTTACATCTACAACGCTCGCACGGATGTGCTCCCGCATGGCCATTATGAGTCCAGGTAGGCACGTGATCACTGAGCGGACATGCTTGTTTTGCCCTCACTTCACGTGACCGATTCGAGGTGCCGCACGCCTGCCAATGTGTAGGTTTGAAGGGTCAAGGGTTGTTAATCGGTTAGTGAATGATTATCGTTTATGGAATCGATTATCGTTCACAGTTCAATCTTGGTAACAATCGACACGTATGGACCGTGAGAGCTTTAAAAGTGATTGTTCACGAGGTAACCCATTAATACACCGTATAAGTATGTATATATATCCAGCATTAGAAAAAAAACACATTGCTGTTCACTGCCTTATGAAGGCCTCATCATGCCGTGTCAGTCACGGGGCATGTTTAACCACCCTTCACCACGCCAGGCGATTATCGATGACGCAACAAGCGAAAGTAACAACCCGAACTGAAAGTGGCAGATTGCATCGTACAGCGTGAACCACACACATGGCAGTGGTGAGCGGTGGTGGTAACGACGGGTGATGCATATTGACCCACTACAATGATAATGTTGGTGATGATGATGAAGGTGGTGTCACAGCAGGGGCACAAACCTCAACCTCCTGTGTCACAGGTCCCCCATTGCGGCCACTGGCTGAGCTTGACGGTGTCACGTCTGCCGCTGCCATGCCACAGCCTGCCATGGAATCTGCCACAGAGGCGCAATGACATCAACATCGTCATCGGATGCAGCGGGAGCAAATGCATTATCATTATCAGCAAGAGCAATCGTCATCAACATCAGCAACACTAACAACTTCATCATGATCAGCAACAGTATCAACTGCATGAGGATTATCATGATCAGTATCATCATGAGCAGCATCAACAGTATCAATGGCACTGGTGGAATCACTATCATCAGGCTGATCGTTTGGCTTTTTGCTTTGAAGAAGAAGGGACAGTTCCCAAAATGTCAGCCTATTTTCCATGTTTCTGTTGCAGGGCACTGGCAATGATGAATGCGGCTATATTTTGATAATTTATTTATTTTCATTTGTGCTTGTGCACGACTCTCAGTGCAAGATGAAGACGCCAGATCCTGCAGCTACTGCTGCACATTTGACACACGACCTCTAGGATGTGACCTCTAGGATCTGTCCAGTGACCTATAAGACCTCTACAATCTGTCCAGCGGCCTCTAGGATTTGTCCAGTGACCTCTAGGACCTCTAGGATCTGTCCAGTGACCACTACGATCTGTTCAGTGACCTCTAGGAGCTCTAGGGTCTGTCCAGCAACCTCTACAATCTGCCCTCACAGTCTCCCATCATCGTAGGCCTTGTCGTCCCTTTGGTCGCCAGACTCTTGGTGACTGCTTCCAACGCCCGTCTCGCCGCATTTTGTCTAATCACATGGGACAGCCAGGTCTTCGTCCCAGCGGTGGGGTTATTATTTATATTTGTCCTCTGAGCCACTCGGTCAAAGCAGCCATGGTGTAATGGTCAACCCCACTGAACCCATTCCAAAGGTCTGCATTTCGATTTGATTTCTCAGTTGAAACAATGGGGCAGGTTTCTTAAATGGCACCTCCCCACCCCCTGGGCCCATGTCCACGCAATCTGCAGACTGGGTTCGGTGGGGTACACCACATTTTTGAAGATGTTTGCTCGGCGTGGAACGGAGAAGCCAACAGTCCTCTAGAGGGGCTCTCTAGAGCTCCTTCTCGTGGAGGCCCTTCCACCAGCAGAGGAGCGAGCAGGGCATTGCATGTCTACGCCTTCGTCATTACCCTTTCCCCACCCAGAAACTTCTGATGCATCGCTTCCTCCTGGACGCTCACCTGATTTCTGAGCCGCCCGATTTGGTTCCACCTCCGGCATTCTGCTGTTCTCAGAGGCTCCCTGCTGCTGCTCCTGCTGCTGCTGCAGCTCCTGCTGCTGCTGCTGCGAGTCGGGCGTGCTCGCGAGGGCATCGCTGGGCAGCGAGAGGGCTCGGCTGACCTCGACGTGCCGCACTGCGGGCAGCAGCAGTGTCTGCTCCCCCAGCGTCTCGAGCCGGGAGCCGTCGTCCACGTTCTGTCCACGTGGGGAAGCAAATCACGCGCACGTGCACGCGCACGCACGTCAAATATGCGTAGAGCGCGCCTGTAATACTGCGTTGGCAGTGGCGCGCAAGCACAAATAACGAGCGCCACACATGCGTCAATAACGCTGCCCGAAACAGGAAACAAATATATAAAATGACTGACGACGCAGACAATGGTAATTAATTACTAGCGCATAGTGTGCTAACCGTATGTGCGTGTGAGTGCGTGTGAGTGCGTGTGTACACGTGTGTGGCAATATTTACACAATATTGCCACCATGCGTGGTTGCTGGCCACCGACGCCCTCGTGTGCCATGCCGGCCTTCATAGGTGCTCGCTAACAGCACTTGCCCCAACAGTCTGTTAAGGCTATGCAAGGGATATTTGTCATTGTCTCTTTGTACACATGTGTGCATTGGCCATTTCGATCAACTTTCAGGTATCGCGGCCAAGGCCCAGCGGTAGCGCATTCGCCGCTTATTGTAGAGGTTCGTGGTTCGAAGCGGCAGGCCACCTGGTTATTGGTGCCGTCGAATTAACAAGAACAGTGTTCGCGATTGGCAGCATGACGTCATTTGAAACGAGTAGCTCCAACTGTGTGCCGGCATTATGGTCCGAAGTTGCCAAGATTCGTAGAAGTTACCCACAAGCAACTCAAACGGTTTACACTCGGCAACATCGCCCCTTGCTGCACAACTGTCGCAGGCTGTGTCTGTGAAACACTGCGCCTTCACGGTAGCCTAGCACTCCAAGAATGGTACGAATATCAAATGTTATAAAAACATTTCCATAAAATTTTATTTTACCAGCTAAAGCCTATTGATAGCTCAACGAAGTGGCTCATCGCGTGGAAATTTATAGCATCCATAAACTCTGAACGCACGTTGATTTTAATTGTGGAGGGAAAAATCCGAGTACCCGGAGGAAAATCCAGGTGACGACGGGGAAAGAGTCATGCAAGCTCCAAATACACAGGTGTCATCAGGGTCCAGGGTCGGGATCGAAACCACCCTCTCCTGTATAGCAGGTGAGATAGTAAACATCTTAGCACCGTGGCGCCACCAATTTACTGACCCACTCGCCACTAACCAACTCGCTAGCTCGCCGGGTTCATAGCCGCGGCACGCTAACCCGCAGCGCCGCCGTTGACGATCGATAGGGGGACGCGCGACTCGCCTCCACGCTGGGCCTCCGGAACGTGAGCTCGCTGCTCAACCGGCCGGGGGGCCGAGCGGCGCGGAGCTCCAACCCGGAGCGGCGAGGGTTCGATCCCCTGCTCCCGGCCAACGCCGCCGCCGCCGCCGCGGAGGAGGAAGGCGAGGACGCGATGCAGCGGAAGTGCGCCGGGGAGAACGACGGCGACGAGACGGCCACGAGCGCCGGGTTGCCGCCGGGGTTGGGGGTGGGCACCGCGATGCCCAGGAGGCGGGCGGTGGCACTCGGCAGGCCGGAGGCGCCGATGATCCCGGCGGCGATGCGCGCCGCGTTCTCCTCCTCCTCTTCCTCGTGCGCGTCCTCGGCGCTGTCCTCCAGGTGCTTCATGAGCACGGCCACCACGACGTTGACGAGCACAAACTGCGCCGTGAGCACGAACGTCACGAAGTAGATGGGCGAGATGACGGGCAGGTACGAGATGCACTGCCGGTCGAGGCTGCTGCACTCGCGCAGCGTGTCCTGGGCACGTGGGGGCGGGCAGGCGCGCGCAAAGAGGTGAAGGTGCAGCCCTGCAATTGCGTGCTCACTCTCTGACCAGATACTGAGCCCCCGCCCACCCCCCCCCCCCCTTATATACCCAGGAGGGCGTCAACGGAGTTTCAAGGGTTCGCTTTTTGTAAGGGATGTTTGGCAAATTTTATTTCAGTGACCGTTTTTTTGCATGCGGGAGGAATCTGGCGCACATGGATAAAACCCACCGTGCATACAAGGGAATGGCTAACACAACATTTATACTGGGAGGTCAGGAGCCTGCTTGCTCTACTGTCACCGGCTTGGCACCCTGAAGCCGATCGGGTGTTGAAGTCTCACATCGCCTGGTTATTTCTGCGAAATTATGCGCGTTAAAAAAATATATTCGACTGCCATGCAGATTAAATTCATCTCTGTAACAGGGGGGCTTGGAAAAAAAAAGTGCTGCCCTTAGTGTGGGAAAAATTAGACTTTCATATATTTCAGAAGTAGTTCTGTGATATCTCCTTCCACTCATCATTCCCTGTCATGGGGTGGGTGCTATGCTGTATGTATGTATGTTGAAACTCATTTTGCACCGTACGTAGCCAACAAACTCAACACATTGGATTGGATTCTCCGTCTCTAGCTGACGCCGCCGATATCAAAACCGGGATAGAATCGGGGCGGAGTGGGGGGACACGAGGAGGGATATATAAAAAAAAGTCTAAAAGAATAAAGTGAGGACGGAGTCAGTCGAGTCGTGCGTGTAAAAAGCTCCGCAGCTAAATTTAAAACGAGATTGTGAACACAATGTAGCCGCACAAGCGCACCCAGCAATGCGACCAAGACGAACGCCTTAAACTTTCTCGCCCGTCGTTTGTCAAACCCCTCTGAATTAGGCAACAGCCGTATCCGGGCACGCGATCAATTACCCCTAACGAGCCGCAGAGCCTGACATCAGTGATGCGTCATTAATTCCAAAATATGCCTGAACCCGCTTCGCCAGGGGTGCGTGTCGGGAAAGGCGCAGAGCAGTTCTGCGCCGAGTTGTGAGTTGCATATTGTAAATCCACGTGGTGGAGGTAACGACGGTTGTTTGTCCATGCGTTTAGTTCGTCCTTGGCTACGTACGGTGCGAAAGGAGTTCCCCGTATATGCATCGCGGAGAATAGATGAGAATAAAGAGGGATTCGAGAGGATTAGACGGGAGATGAAAAGAGAGAGGTAGGACGATACGGAGATGAAGAGCTGCAAAGGAGAGGAGTGGGAGTGAGCGGAGAGGAGTGGGGGCGAGCGGAGAGAGGAGGGAGACGAGGAGGAGGAATGTGAGAGGGCGAGGAAAGGGGCACGACAAGAGAGCGGAAGACACAAATAAGAGAGGAGGAGGAGAAAAGATGATGACAACAGCAGGGGAGAGAATGGAAGAGGAGATGGGATGACAACATAGACAAAGAAAGAGAGAATAGAGGAGACTGAGAGAGAGAGAGATGGGAGAATACCGAGATAAGCGAAAGAGAAGGGCGGGGAATGTCAAGGCAAAACAAATGAAGAGAGGAGGCAAGAAGAGAGAGAGTGAGAGAGTGAGTGACGAGAGAGTGAGCGAGAGAGTGAGCGAGAAGTGGGAGTTTACATAAAGCAAATAAAAAAAAATTAGAAATGATGAACGAAGCAAAGTGCCGACTACACCGAGCATCTTCTTGTTTCCACTGATCGTAAAAAAAATTAGATATGGTAAGATAGAAGAGAGGATTGAAGCAATGCAAAATGAGAGGGGAGGGGCAAATGAGAGGAGAGGAGGGGGGAGAAGCAGGGGGAGGTTAGCGTGAGGAGCTGAGTCGACAGGAGGCCGCGTGGCGTCACCTTCATGATGCCGTTCCAGTTGTCGCCCGTGGACACGCGGAACAGCGTCAGCAGCGCCATGCCGAAGTTCTCGAACGTGGCGTGACGGCTGAGGCCCTCGCACGGGTAGTCCTCGCAAGCTGCGGCCGGCACGCAACCACGCATCCACCGCCGTGAATAGCCATGCAAAGGCAGAGATGCCGCCGTGTAGCCTCGACAGACCGCTAGGGCAAGTGCTGTTAAGCGAGCAGCCCTGAAGGGAACGACGAAGGGGGTGGGTGGCCAGCACTGTGCTCGGTTGCCTTTATCTCCCCAGTGGCGATGTGTACACATCGCACCGGGCACTCGTTTGAGGCGATCTAGGGGAGGCCCATGACTGGGACAAGTTCAGATAATCGTCGCGGGTGTTGGCCATGAGCGGGAATCGAACTCGGGGTCGCCGGCCTCGTAGCGCAGCGCGCCGGCCACTGCGCCAACACTCCCCACGCACTTCCCAGACTCTCACGCGGCTAATCTCCCAGCGCTGTGGCCCACGCACACAGCTGCACTGACCATCGTGAGTAGACATGGGCGCATATTACACGGAGTGAAGGCACGTGAGCACCAAACGGTAAGGGCAGCAAACACTGGCCCTAACAGCAAACTGAAATACATGCATCACGTGTATAAATGTAAGATACAAATGATACATTCGGAGCAATGATGAAGGTGACGGTGGTGGTGATTGTTGTGGTCGTGGCAATGACAGTGTTGTTTGTGAGGGTGATAACAGTGATGTTAAGCGTTGTTCCTTTTTGGTGGCGATTGGTGGTGGCAGATGATGCATAAGGTGCCTCTAGGAGAGGCTCCAGTGATGTTAATTATGACGCTGGTGGTCGTGATAGAGAATGTGCTTACAATGTTAGCCATGACGGTCGTAGCGTTAATCGGTGATGATGACAATGATCCTGATAACCGTGCTTATAGCGATGTAGGTGACAATGCTGGCGATGTTAGCCACGACAGTGATGACGACGATATCATTGCTAACGACGGAGAAGGTGGTGTCCTCACTGAGTCCTCCGAAGAGCTCCACCCCCAGAGCCGCGTAGATGAAGAAGAGGAGGAGAAAGAGAAGTCCCAAGTTCCCCACCTGCAGGGGACGCACACAAGAGGATCACCTCCAGTGGTGGCCCCCAGCGAGTGGCGGAAATTCTACATTCCCACGACGAGGCCTAGTCTATCCTGAGAACAGCCATTATTGACAAATGGGTGCTCGTTGTGTTGACCCTGGGTGGACGACGGCTCTCCGGGTCGACCGACGAGCGGGAGTTTGAACTTGTGGCGTCACACGCAAAGTGCTTGCCACAAATGAACCACAATGCCTTGCTGAGCTCGTCAAGGAGCATAAACCATCAAGCGAACTCGCAGCATCAGCGGCTTTTTGGTTAGCCATCGACAAGGACAGTGGCAGCATCGCGCGGTTTCAAATGTGCTTCTACGGCCGTCTGGAACGCTCTTCCTTCCGATATTAGAAAGCCACTGGAGCTATGCACTTTTAAATCATCTAGATTGAGAACCCATTTGATTAAAAGTAATTTTTTTTCCGTTTGGTTTGTTGTCCTTCCACACCTCCGATGTGCACGGCTGGTAGCAAACGGTGCGAAAGAAGTTCAACGTACACACGCACATACGAGTGTGAGCCGAGTGTTATAAGTTATAACCGCTGCGCATCTTCATGGCAATAGAGCCAGAGATTAGTCACAGCACCTGGCACACCACATCTAGCATACATCTTCATTTGCTTGCGATGACAAGTCACGCGCCTATTCAAGTCCGGCAGCGACCCGAAAAACTGTCACTGGGGGAGATGAAGGCACGAGCAGGGCCCACGTGATTACCGTGGCACTGCCGGTGCCACGCGTCGCGTGCAAGCGCTCACCTGGGGGAGTGCCTGCACCACCACTGCCAGCAGCGCCTGCATCCCCGTTGCCATCTTCACCAGCTTCAGCACTGCGTAGACACACACACGTAAACAAGCACGCACCCACACGCACAAAGACAAAGATCCCCCGTGTAGCCTTGAACAGGATGTTGGGGCAAGTGCTGTTAGCGAGCATCTATGAAGGCCGGCAAGGCACACGTGGCAGTAGGCGACCGAGTGGGTGATTGAGTGAGTTGGTATCGGGGTGAGTGAACAAGCAAGTGTGTGAGTGATTGCGTGTGTGTGCGTGTGCGTGCGAGGTGAGTGTGTGAGTCACCGCGTGTTATGCGCAGGACCCTCATGATGCGGATAATGGTCGGGTTGATGGGCAGGGAGGCACTGATCTCAATCTCCTCCAGGATAATGCCCATGATGGACAGGAGGACAATGGCCAAATCGAGCTGATTCCACCTGCACAAGTACAAAATGAACGTCAATCACAAAAACCATCGGCACCGTCGTCACTTAGCATGTACATTTGACAACAGACATTCCCCGACTATAGTACGCGTAGGCGTTTGGTAATTCAACATTTGACCCGCATTTATATGAAGTCGAAGTTGTCCTTGAGAACATACATTGATATAATCTAGATTTGAAGTTTTCGTGACTGCAGGGATCCATACTCTTTGGTTCTTTCGGTAAAGTCACGTAGGTATAAAATGTAATTAAAGCCTCTTGTTACAGCAGCCCTTTTCCCACTACAGCAATCGTTTCTTGCTGTGGTTGTCCCACCTGATGATGGACGCTTGTGTTGCGCCCGAAACGTCGTGATTTAATTTATTTTATTTTATACCTACGTGACTTTACCGAAAGAACCAAAGAGTACATTGGTCTGATATTTAAACACTACCCCTGCCAGCAAACCTCCAGCAATATACTGGAGGTGGCTTAAACTCAATCAGGTAAGAGCCCATTGAGACAAACGTCTCTTTGTGAGTACAGATATAACCTCAGTCCCTGCTTAAAACAACAATGGGGGTGGCATTCATCTGCACTGCTGGGGCTGAGCCAGTATCAGAAATCCCACTCTGCTATGACAGACAGGGGCAGTCAAATAGCATTGCGAGCGAGGCGCTCGAGGAAACTCGTTACAAGTTCAATAATAAATATGCAATTGACCGAGGGGAGGACAAACCTAGACGCATAGAAGCTAATTCAGAGAATTAATTCAGTTGTATCATCGTGATCATCGCCGCTGTGTTAAAGGCTGCCCGGGTACGTGTGCTGACCTGTCCTTGAAGTAGCGTCTAATCCCGAACGCCAGCAGCTTGAGCAAGGCCTCCAGCACGAAGACGGAGGTGAAGACGTAGTTGCAGTACTTGAGGCCCTCGTTCAGAGACTGTCGGCCAGCGGCGAAACGGGCGAGAGGAGAGCGCGGTTACAACGAGGTGAGGTTACGAGGTGCAAGTACAATTACCACTCCACGGTGCTTTACCACAGACGAGAATGACGACGAACGTGCTCGGCTTGTGCTCTCCGCGTGCCACCGCGTGAAATCCTCGAGGCTGCTCGAGTTTGCCGTGCGTGTACGTACGCACGCACGCGTGTGTGTGTGTGCGACATGCGTGTGGCCTCCACAAGGCCGACTCGGTCATAAATGAGTAGCGCGTGCGTGCATGAGCGTGAGCGCGGGGGAGAAGTTCCACTGTGGTTCGTGGTTCACGCGAACGAGCAACGATCCATTGCGCACACGGCCGGCAGTCACCTGCCCGCAGGTGACGTCAGCTGCCAGGCGGTATCCTCCCCTGCCGTGAACCTTCCTCACGATGCCGGCTCGGCCTCAAATGAGCACCCGGTGCGGAGTGTGAAACGTCAGCATTTGGGGAGGACAAGCGGGGCTGGCCGTGGTGCTGACCACCACCACCCCCCTCGTGTGTGCAGGCGCCGGCCTTAACAGTGTGTTTCGCAAACAGCACCTAGCCCAACAGCCTGTTCGTGGCTGCACAGTGGGCGGGGGGGGGGTTCAGTGTCTTTGTGTGCGTTGCACCTTGGGCTGGTTGTAGTGCTCCATCGCCATGGTGAGCACGTTGAGGCCGATGAAGACGGTGATGAAGATGTCCAGGTAGCTGGACGTGCACACCGAGTGGATGAAGAGGCGCACGGGCGAGTACTCGGAGTAGTAGGGCTTCTTCTGTGCCTCTGGAGAAGCGGCGTGCGTGAAGGACAGCGACAATCACCATCGTCAAGAACTGTAGCAACAGCAGTAACAACATCTCCACGATGATGATGATGATGTTCACGATAGTGCTCAATCATGCTCGGCCTCGATCTGTACTCGTATCCTCACAACGGGTACCACGATACCAACTGAGATGTACAGTGTGTCCTTAAATTAATGGGCGTGTGCAGGGTAGCTGTTTTCTTAAAACCCTGTTATTGCCATGACGACCTAATGTAGCCTGTTTGTATTATTATCTCCACTACCAGTGCCACTGTGATGATCATCAGCACCACCACCGTTATCACCACCATCTTCATCAATAGCAGGATAAAAAAACACCACCACAACCACTACGATCAGCATCATCATCGCCATCCTCATCACCAGCAGAATTATAATCACGACCAACCACTACGATCATCATCATCGTCATCACCACCATGATCACCATGCCCATCACTAGCATCATTATAAACACCACCACCACTACGATCAGCATCATCGTCATCACCACCATGATCACCCTCATCACTAGCATCATTATAAACACCACCACCACTACGATCATCATCGTCATCATGACCACCATGATCACCATGCTCATCACTAGCATCATTATAAACACCACCACCACTACGATCAGCATCATCGTCATCACCACCATGATCACCATGCTCATCACTAGCATCATCATAAACACCACCACCACTACGATCATCATCGTCATCACCACCACCACCATCCTCCTTGTCATCACGGCCCGGGGGGGCGGGCACCGGGTGCGCTTACTGCGTCGCTTCTTCTCGGCCCTCTTGAGCCTCTTCTCCTCGCGGAGTCGAGCCTCCTCGGCCTCCTGGTGCTGCCGGCACTTGTGGAAGTTCTCCACCACGACGCCCACGAACATGTTGAGCACGAAGAAGCTGACGAGCAGCAGGAACGAGATGAAGTAGAGCAGCATCCACGGGTTGTAGTTGATGACGGGCTGCCCGGGAAAGAGGGGCAACGGCGTCACACGTGCGCTCACGCGTGCGCTCACGCGTGCGTGCGCTTGATCCGCTGGTTAAACCCCCCTGCGAGACGTTTTAACATTGCAACGTCTGGTGGGGTGGGGTGATGGGGGGTGTTGTGTGGTGTTGGAGGGGTCTGTGGTGATTTATATGTATAAAACAAAACAATTAGTAAGCAGACACTTCTGTATGTATGTGTGAATGTCGGACTTCTTTCGCACCGTACGTGACTGGGGGAAAGACAACAAACTAAACACAAAAAAGCAGTTCTCAAGAAATGAAAAAAAAGTAAAGTTATTAATAGTTGTCTTAGGACAGCGGTAGCAAGCGCAACATAGTTGTCAGCGCTAACAAAGACAAAAATATGTCCCGCCCCCCCATATGTAGGATCACAGAGCTTGGGCAATTGTTGGTACCGCCAGTTCTGGCTGCCTTCCTACTCGTGTGCGGTGTCCCGCACCTCAGTGCTGGGCGACACATTTCATCGCGTCCCGAGATGTGATTTGCATGAAGGGGGCTTCATTTCAATAAAACATTATCATCGTTATTGCTGCCTTCTTGTTAAAATCGCATTGCTGTTTGTGAGTTCCTCTTGAGGCCAGCAATAGAGCACAGAGTGACGGTGTGACGAGAACGGCCTTTGTCTTCCCAGTGCTGATATTTACACACGACAGCAGGTTTTAGGCTGAATGGGCCTAAGGGAGGCCCCCTGATTTAATAAACATATTTGCCACCAATATTATCTGTGGCCTAGGAAACGAATCAGGGTCACGGGGTTCGTATTACGGGGAGTTAACCTCTGTGGCACCACTGTGCCCACCAGTAACGGCGCTGTAATCATCATCATCAACCGCAGCAGTGGCACTGTTATCAAAATCATCATTATCATCAACAGCAGTAGAATCATTGTACTTTTCATGATGAGCGATAACATTGACATCGACAGGAGAACAATCATCAGCATCTGCAGCAGGATCAACACTGTTAGAAAAATCATCATCAGCAGGAATAGCATCGTTGTCAGAAACATCTATCGTCACCAGCATCACGATTGTCACTGGAAGCAGCAGCAAAGGCGGCATTGCTATATGCATCATGATTATCATCACCAACAAAATCGCAATCAACATCAGGAGCAGTAGGATTATTACTGTCAGTCGAAATACTAACGGCATCATAATTAGCAGCATGGTCACCCAGCAGCAGCAATACCTGCAGTATCAATATTTTCTAACACTATGAGAAGCAGCATGAAAATCTCTGTCATTTATACCGAAACGACTGTACGATTATACCAATTGTTTAACTTAAATTTTTTACAACATTTAAGTACGAAAAAATCTGAACCAAAAGATATCATTGAAAGACATCGTGAGTGCACGGTAAGTGGACAATGTGGGCCACTAGCAATGATGTGAACAGACACACGAAGTCACCACAAGGTGGCAGAAGGAAACCATCGTATCATCAAAAAACATCAGAGGCCACGCAAAATATAACCTCGGTTTGCACGGAAATTTCACCTCCCTCTTGGACGGACAGCATTGCCATCTTTCCCACTGTAGACCAAATCCAGACATAATTCTCAGTCAGCCTAGCCGAGGGGACAGCAACTAAAATAACAAGAAGATACATCTGTTTCGAATTAGGTAAAAAAAACACCCCCTTCAAATTTCAAGAGCAGCAATGCACGTGGCGAATACAAGACGGCGGTCCTTCATAAATAACGTCACGGAACATTCCCTTAAAGAGGCTCCGGAGCCGAAGGTTGCCGACCCCTGCCCATGGTGAACTGGATTTTCATGGTAAACTGGACTCCCATGATAAATTGGATTTCCATGGTAAACTGGACTCCCATGTTAAACTGGATTTCCATGGTAAACTGAACTCCCATGATAAACTGGATTTCCATGGTAAACTGGACTCCCATGGTAAACTGGACTCCCATGGTAAACTGGACTCCCATGATAAACTGGATTTCCATGGTAAACTGGACTCCCATGGTAAACTGGATTTCCATGGTAAACTGGACTCCCATGATAAACTGGATTTCCATGGTAAACTGGACTCCCATGTTAAACTGGATTTCCATGGTAAACTGAACTCCCATGATAAACTGGATTTCCATGGTAAACTGGACTTCCATGGTAAACTGGATTTCCATGGTAAACTGGACTCCCATGATAAACTGGATTTCCATGGTAAACTGGACTCCCATGGTAAACTATATTTCCATGGTAAACTGGACTCCCATGTTAAACTGGATTTCCATGGTAAACTGGACTCCCATGGTAAACTGGATTTCTATGGTAAACTGGACTCCCATGGTAAACTATATTTCCATGGTAAACTGGACTCCCATGGTGAACTGGATTTCCATGGTAAACTGGACTCCCATGGTAAACTGGATTTCCATGGTAAACTGGACTCCCATGGTAAACTGGACTCCCATGGTAAACTGGATTTCCATGGTAAACTGGACTCCCATGGTAAACTGGATTTCCATGGTAAACTGGACTCCCATGGTAAACTGGACTCCCATGGTAAACTGGATTTCCATGGTAAACTGGACTCTCATAGTAAACTGGATTTCCATGGTAAACTGGACTCCCATGGTAAACTGGATTTCCATGGTAAACTGGACTCCCATGGTAAACTGGACTCCCATGATAAACTATATTTCCATGGTAAACTGGACTCCCATGGTAAACTGGACTCCCATGATAAACTATATTTCCATGGTAAACTGGACTCCCATGGTCAGGGGTTGGCCATTAAAATAACAAGAAGTGCTAGATAAAAGTAATATTTCAAGAGCAGCAGTGCATTTGAATACGCCATGGCGGTCATGAATAAATAACGTTACGAAGCAGTCTCTAAAGAGCCGCACAGAGTAAACTCGGGATTATTTGGCCGTTAGTGGGCGAAGAAGTGTCCTGATTAAAATGAAAACACGGACAATGTAAAATATGCACCAATCAGGCTACAAAAACAGACTTTTTGTTTACGTATGCAGAATGGGTGTGAAGACGTTGAATGCAGTCCGTTGTGACTGTTGAAGTAACCAATCATCGGGTGGATCACGCAGCGAGAAGCTGCCAATGATGGGTAAGGCGCGGATGCCGAGTGTGGAACACTACACATTCACTATTCTTTGGGTCTTTCGGTAAAGTCACGTAGATAGGTTCAAAGAAATTAACAAAAAATTACCAAAAACTACGACGTTTCGATCGCAACACAAGCAGTCGACCGCTTGTTTTGTGATCAAAACGGCGTAGCTTTTATTTTCTTTGAACCTATCTACGTGACTTTACCAAGAGACCCAAAGAATATGAATTCCTGCAGTCACGAAAGCTTTAAGTCAAGATTTACACATTTACTGTTCCTTTTTTTTTCACGAGTACAATTAATCCGGAACGCGGGCACATCCACCCACAGACAACCCGCTCACTAACCGCAATACAAATGAGATGGTTAAAACGAGACAGACCACTACAGATCCTCAAACCGAAGTGTGGCCCTCAATCGGGACAATTCATCACGTCGACAGGGGCGCGGGTGGCGGCGGGGACCGTTACACCTCCGCTGCTGCTGCCGCCGCCGCTGCTGCTACTGCCCGTAGGCTGCAAGAGATGCGGGAGCGCCGTGTGTGTGGGGGAGAGAGAGAGAGAGGGGAAATGAGAGTGGAGCTGAGTTGTACCTGCTGATCGAGCCCCACGGCATCGAGGCCGGTGTACATGATGTTCACCCAGCCGTCCTTGGAGGACAAAACGAACAGCGACATCAGGGCCTGAAAGCACAAGCGCACACGCCTTAGCAAACAAAGACAAGGGTCTCCCGTATAGCCTTTAACAGACTTGGGGCAAGTGTTGTTTGCGAGCACCTATGAAGGCCGGCACAGCACAGCACAGGGGTTGCGTGGCCAGCATCTTGCCTGGCCGCTTTTGTCTTCCCAGTGCTGATATTTGTACACCGAGTGGAACTAGGGGAGGCCCAGGACCAGGTCAGACAACTACTTGCCACTGATGTGAGCCGTGGACTGGAATCGAACGCAGGTCGCCAGGTTCTCAACCACTTGTAAAGTGGCCCTCGGTATCCACTGCACACGACAAAGAAGCTCTTTGATTGAATTTATCCTTTTGTGGCACATTAGGAACGGATCACTCTTTTAATTATATTCTTGTGCAGCAAGGGAGTAAAGTGTTGTTCTGTGAAAGTCCTGATGTGCTGTGCAGTGCATCAATGCATGTGTGTACAGCAGCATGTGATGACTGAGTTGGGCCTATAGGTGGCTGGCAGGGTTATACTGGTAGGAACCACCTGGTTCCACCAGCCCATAGGGGATTATTGTGTCCGTCCGTCCGTCTGTCGTGCATCCAAAAATTGGAGGGGTGGGGCTGGGTGGAGAGGGGCTGGGGGGGAAGGTGGGGAGGGGCTGGGTGGGGAAGGGAGGGTGGGGAGTGGCTGGGTGGGGAGGGTGGGGCTGGGTGGGAGGGGTGGGGCTGGGTGGGGAAGGGCTGGTCACCCCGTGGTGTCCTTATAAAACTCAACGTTTAACCTACTCACGCCGGCTTGTGCCATATTTGCGGAGTACACCACGCCGCCGTTGACCCTGGCCATTGACCGAGCAACCCAACGTTCCTACCAGCTCCCTCCGCAGGAATGTGTTTGAATAACCGCATGTGTACACCAGCCACATGGTGAATGGCGACTCGGTGAAGATTGCTGTGTGTGACACACGTGCTGTTGCATGCTACAGATTAACCACAATAAATGTGTTGGCCCTCGATTTGGAGCACCTGCCCAACGTCCTTCATTTCGAGTGTGCAACACTTTCCTCGACTATTCACGCACTCGACCTTGCTGTGTATGTTGAACTTTGTTCGCGCCGTATGTAGTCAACCGTGCTAATCGGTGGTTCACACACCTGCCCGAGGTTGTCGAAGTTGTACTTGTGTTTCAGCCACTTGTAGTTGGCCCTCAGGCAGTCGGACTTGTTGGTGACGTTCTTGGTGTCCAGGCCCTCGCAGTAGTAGAACTTCCCCTTGAACAGCTGCGAGAGAATGCGACGGACAGGGGGGGGGGGAGGCAACTTCAATCCCCGAGACGAGCAAAACATCGCAATCTGTGTTGATCAATCAATCAATTGATCACTAATTAACCACTCGTTAAAAAAAAAACACGAACCGCATCGCCATTAACACGGTCTTATAACTGAAGAAAATATATTTATAAATTCATAGCCGCTGTGAAAAATGGTAATTGCCCAAAATTTTTGAATCTGTTGAAGGGAAAGTTCCTCATACATTATCTTGCTCTATGCTCTTGTTATTATAATGTTTTATTAATGATGAAGGTTATGCGTTTGTTGTTTGCTTGTACATCACTGCCAATGCAATCTCTTGTTTGCTTTGACCTGCTTCACTCCCCAATTATATTCCAATTAAGCTTTCAGCATCGTATGATTATATATATTTTTTTAATGTAATAACAAATTCTGCAATGAAGATGATGTCACAGACCTACTTCTGACGTCACTTCAACAGGCATCTTCATCCACACTCGACGCAAATTTCTACTTGCTTCTTTGCAATACTTTAATTCATTTATCTTGCTTTCATCAATTCCGTGACCTAGGTAACGATTGCAAATAAGACTCTATCCTGGTCTCTTGATTACACAAAATCAACTCAAACTTCGAATTTCAACCCGTTTAATGCCCTGCAAAAAAGTGTTCATGACACTATACGAAACGTGAACCAAATGTTGAAGTCTCAGAGCTGGAATAGGGCAAATTAAGCAACAAAAATGCAAGTGTAGTACGGTGATTTTTTTTGTGTGTGTGTGCGCATGGGTTATCGGTGACGGGGCTCAGCCCATCGCCGGTCCTCACTCCACCTGAGAAGCCGCTTCAACCACGGGCTGCTGTCGCCTGGATTTGTGATCTCCACAGACCTCAGCGGTGCCGGCTCATCGAGCCTGACCCCTCAGCCACCGAGCCACCACACAAGTCCATAAATTTGATTTGAATCGATAAATCAATCGCTGTGTATTCGTAGCCTTGTCCGAGTTGCAGATTGATTCACGCAACGACAACAATGTAATTGTTGTCAAAACCTTCTCTCGATGTGTGTCCTGCACGGCATCTCTCACAAACACACGTATTTGTGGCAGGGGTGTGACGAAGGAACGTTCCATTGATTAATGAGAATTCGTAACCTCGTGATACATCAATCAAATTGTGTGCACGAAGAATCTATATTTTTTGATTTGTGTATGTTGTGTGTTTTGGGTTCACGTGACCTCAACGGCTACTTGGAGGTACAGTACCAGCATTCACTGCGATGTAAAAATAAAAATCAATTCTTGAAATGAATCGTGGCCCTGAATTCTGGCAATTTGTCAAATCAGCAGAGAGGGTGGGGGGGGGGGGGTGAATCCATACACCGCTAGTTTATGAACGAGGTGTGATAAAAGTGCGTCCTTGCCGATGGCCAATAGCAATGCCTGTCACTTCACATCCAGTTCATGGCCTGACCCCCACCCTTGTGTTGTTGCACGGACCACGAAGTTGTTGCATCACAGAAGTGCCGCCAAATGGCCTGACATTGTGAGATGTTATGCCAGGGGAATCTTTACGTAACGTCAAAATGGCACCGCCAGATCTCAGATCTGCCCCCAGACTCACCAGGTGTCATTCACTGAGCTTCAATACACCTTCAGGGAGGAGTACATTCCAGGACAGCGTTTCCAGTAAAAATCGCTCCGGAGTGGAAACGACCCCAGCAAAAGTGGTGCACTTGAGAATATTTCCAGAATCGCCAGGATTGGTCGGACTGCCATGCAGTGAGCCACTGGAACTAGAAAACGCTCTATGGAGCATCAGGAGCACATTAATTAAAGTGGAATTTAGGAGTTTTACGGTGAATTGAATTAGAGGATATGGAACGAGCACCCCCCCCGCATCGATGCAGATGATAGTATTTTCACTCTATAAAAAGTACATTTAAACATCTTTACTGAGAACAATGCAATAAACTCAACGTCCAATTCTGTGGTTACTGAGTTGCGTCATCTCTAATGACTGTCTTGGGATTTATCGATTCCAAAACACAGTAGAGGGCCGATCCCTGCCAGGTAACTCGGTTTCTTTCAACAAATAGAATAAACGGGGGTAAAAGCAGGAAAAGAGAAAATGGGAATGCACCAACACTGTTATTGATTAAGTCACCCACCAACTCGGCAAGATCATGTAGACACGATAAATGATTTGCTGATAGCGCATTGGCAGTGGTGCGGGAGCATGATGAACAAAATAAACTCAACACAGTCCGTTTAGCACGTAGCAGGCTTTCGCGGCCAATATCATCCATAAGAGGGTTTTTGGGTTCGATCGCGTAAATATATAAATGTGTCGTTAAAACCCTGCCACCACCCGACACAGCCAACTAGTATGTGTTGTCACGTAAAGTGAACGTGGCCAATTCGTCACTAGTACAGCACCCCGGTGTGTTGGAGAGCCAAGCCACAACATTTAAAATCCGAGTACGACGTTTCGCCAGTAATTACAACTAGCTTCATCTGGTGACAGCCAGATTTGTGGAGAAGTCCAAGTGTTTCGTCAATAAACCTGTGGCATTAAAATAAAAAAATGTAAAATAATAATAATACGACGCTTTGGGCAATGGCCCTTTTTCTCGAAGGCAGTGGCCCCCCAATATTTTAAGGATGTGTAATTATTGGAGGTGCTGAGCTTCATGTAAATACACGGATTAGTTACCCGGAGAACTGTCTAGTGATGGCTTTGGATGAAAGGGTGCAGATGGTACGAATGGAGACCAGCTGAGGAAGAATCCATGTTGTTGGTGCTGGAAATGCAGCGGGAACGCAGCGAATACGAGCGATTCGCCGGTTTGAATGAGCACACGTTTTAAGCAAGAATTGTACCACTGTGTTCTGCAAACCAAAACTAATGTCGATGTTAAAAGTTGCTTAATGCCAAAATAAAACAAGAATCTATTTTTCTAAGGCAGACCTGGGAATATACTTCATGTTGGCTCTGAAAGACGAAGCGTGATGAAATGGAGTGATTAATTAATTAACTAAGTGCTGCAACTTTGATGCAAATAGTTTAACATGATTAGGCATTCCACCTTCATGCTGTGATCCTCCTGTGATTTCACTCTGAATGCATTACAGCTTTGCAAACGAACAATCGAGGATTGCTCATGTCCCATAATCAGGTCTGAGCAATCGGTGTGAATTTCACGTTCCTATGACGGGCCCAGGCATGTCCGTAACTAACACAACATCTCCTACTGTCAACAAACTCTGCCCCAAGCAGTGAAGCCTCAAAAGGCGGTGCCTCAATTTGTCCATCCTGGTGGAATGGTGATGGTGATGATTGTCGAGGCGTGGCTCTACACAATGAGCTACATCATGTCCACACAGCTTCATAATGTCATAAAACATTTACCCACCACCTGCTTTGTACCTGCGAAATGAACAACTGCTGTATTACTCGGGGCTTTGCAATTACACGCAAGCAGATGTTTGAAATGAGTCAAATTCTTGCCAAATTAAAATTCACTTAATTCTTAATCAATGCTCTGTGTTGACTTGAGTGGAATAACTTTCATAATTAATGCGTATGCAAATTTGCTAAATCCATTCACTATTATATTAAAACCAACAAGGACAAAGAAGTGTGCAAGAGCAAATGCATTTAGTGAGCACCCATTTAGGCCTGGATAATGCAGATCATCACCACCGCCGTCAGTGTTTTTGTCGATGCACCCTGGAAATGTTTCAATGTTTTTGTGTGTTTCGTTTCTTGCCCTTCCCCCGCACCTCCGATTAGCACGGATGGCGACGTAGAGTGCGAGAGAAGTTCAACATGCATGAGCACACACACTCACAGCCCTATTTTCAATCAATCCACTGCCGTTGGTGAAGGGTGGAGGGGGGGCAGTACAGAACAGAGGTGAGCGGTGGTAGTGCAACAGTTATCGGTGGGGAGCGGTAGTGCAATGGTTAACGGTGGGGAGCGGTAGTGCAACAGTTAACGGTGGAGAGCGGTAGTGCAACGGTTAATGGTGGAGAGCGGTAGTGCAACGGTTAATGGTGGGGAGCGGTAGTGCAACAGTTAACGGTGGGGAGCGGTAGTGCAATGGTTAATGGTGGAGAGCGGTAGTGCAACGGTTAATGGTGGGGAGCGGTAGTGCAACGGTTAATGGTGGGGAGCGGTAGTGCAACGGTTAATGGTGGGGAGCGGTAGTGCAATGGTTAACGGTGGGGAGCGGTAGTGCAACGGTTAACGGTGGAGAGCGGTAGTGCAACAGTTAACGGTGGGGAGCGGTAGTGCAACGGTTAACGGTGGGGAGCGGTAGTGCAACGGTTAACGGTGGGGAGCGGTAGTGCAACGGTTAATGGTGGAGAGCGGTAGTGCAACGGTTAATGGTGGAGAGCGGTAGTGCAACGGTTAGCGGTGGGAAGCGGTAGTGCAACGGTTAATGGTGGAGAGCGGTAGTGCAACGGTTAATGGTGGGGAGCGGTAGTGAAACGGTTAATGGTGGGAAGTGGTAGTGCAACAGTTAATGGTGGGGAGCGGTAGTGCAACGGTTAACGGTGGTAAGCGGTAGTGCAACAGTTAACGGTGGAGAGCGGTAGTGCAACGGTTAATGGTAGAGAGCGGTAGTGCAACGGTTAATGGTGGGGAGCGGTAGTGCAACGGTTAATGGTGGGGAGTGGTAGTGCAACGGTTAATGGTGGGGAGCAGTAGTGCAACGGCTAATGGTGGGGAGCGGTAGTGCAACGGTTAACGGTGGGGAGTGGTAGTGCAACGGTTAATGGTGGGGAGCGGTAGTGCAACGGTTAATGGTGGGGAGTGGTAGTGCAACGGCTAATGGTGGGGAGCGGTAGTGCAACGGTTAACGGTGGGGAGTGGTAGTGCAACGGTTAATGGTGGGGAGCGGTAGTGCAACGGTTAATGGTGGGGAGTGGTAGTGCAACGGTTAACGGTGGGGAGTGGTAGTGCAACGGTTAATGGTGGGG